TTCCACCCAAGACGTTCTTCTGGTGGACTGGAAAAAGTATTTTTTGGTTGGTTGACGCACGAGGCACGAGAACACTTTCAGGAAAGCAAAACAAAGAAACATTAAAAACGACACACAAATCCACCCGTCGTAGATTCTTGCCAGTGGAGCCAGTTGTGTTGTAGTCGTTCGTATTGCCGTCTCTGTATGGTACTACAATAGCTTGTCCATTTTTTTAGATTCGAAAGAACAGTACGCAGCAAGAGCGAACTTGCACGGCGACCGCTCACTTGCTGGCTTGGTGCTATGGGCACGTTTGGCTGCAGTTGGAGTGTAGCTGGAACTTTCGAACTTTGGAGAAGTAGTTTCTCGTGTTTCCTTCTTTTGCCTGGAGCTAGAAGGTGAAGAGTTGTTTTCCAAGCCCGTAGGGACGTTTCTTGGAGTTTCGAGTACCTGAGGAGGCCTTAGCTCTCAGGGAAGTGTTTAGAGCTCCAAGCCAGCCTGCTAGTTCGTTTTCACTCCGAGCAGCTGCAAGACGTTGTGCCTTACTTTGGCTCAAGACCCTTGCGTGTCGTGTGAGTAAATGAAGACTCAGCTGGAGTTCTTGGGCCGTCTGATCAAACTTTGGTCGGCTTGGCTGCAGGTCGACCTGTGCGCCTCTGTTCCTTGAAGCTCTTGCCGATACAAAGCACCGCATTGTGCTTTGGCTCGATCCAGTTCATCTTCTTTGAGCTCAAGTGAGAAACTGCTGGATCTGATCCTTGCCTGGCGGCCCCATGGCAGGAGGAAACAGGCGAAGAGTAGTTTGCAGAGTCGAACTCTGGCGCTTCGGCCCGGGCAGCAAGTTCTTCGGCGCTGAGGGGCATATGCGGTCGTTGTGTTTTACTCAACCCTGTTTACCAAACTTAGGTACGCTTTCACAGATTGCTTGCTGATTGTTGCATAGCAGCCACTTTGCTCAGCAGCATGTTCTTTCATGCAGTCGCAGCGTGCATGAAATTTCTTTTGGCTTGGTTACTCTTGACCTGACCTTGCTTTTCCAGCTTGGAAACCTTAGGCTGTTTTAAGGCAACATAGCCGGCGTAGCTTTTGCATCGCATGGTCCGTTTTACGGCCTCTCTGCGGGGACATGCCAGCGATGTTCACAGCATGATGCTTCGCGAGCAATTAAGGCTTGAGCCTGGTTTGGAGCCGCAGATAACGATTCGGTTGGGATAATACGATGGCAAACGATGATGCCAGCCACAGAATCGGGATCAGAATTTCTGACGTTTGAGTCACCCTGTTAACGTTCATGCATTACTACTGGCAAAATGCAATGCTTGTCAATGCAGATCATTTCTTAGACATACTGCATGGCGATTATATGGCTGATTGCCGCCGTATAGCCTTTGCAAAGCAAGGCCAAGTCAGCAAATTGTGCCTCCGTTTGGGGGAACGAAGCATGGCCTCACTCACTGTCTGATGCGGCCGCATCTCTGCACACTACAATCCAGCTGCAATAGAGGGTTCAAACTGGGCATGGCCTGTGATAAGCAAAGGCTAGCTGTCAGCAGCTAGTTGCAAGAAGTTCTCCATGTCACTGTGCTTTCTTTGCCCGTGCATGCTGTCTTGCACAAGGCCGCCTCGAGCTTTAAGGTTCGGCAATGGCACGGGGTCTGCGCGGTTTCTGCAGTGAGCCTTAATGGATTGTGGAAGCAGGTCGGCCGTCAAGTGGTGAGCAGTTGCTTCTCAGAGAATCTTGGGAGTGTTGAGCGAGCATTTCAGCCAGCGCTTGTTTGCTCATCCAGTCTCCTCTACAACTCTGCCAGCAGCATTCCTACATGTTTTTCTCGACCAGGGGCCACTCCAACTTTGCGCATGTTTCTTCAGCCTTCCATCTTTCCATCCTGAGCCAGAGCCTTTGTAGGCGGAGTGAGCCCGTGGTGCAGGCAAGCCAAGCAAGGTGCACATGGTCACTGCCAGGAAGGCCCCAGACCAGAAGGGCCCCTCATCGAACCTGACGTTGAGCCCGACTGTAGGCCGATGCATCGTGCAAACTCGGGATGTGTAGCTCCTATGCCTCTTCAATGATGCACATGCTATGCCACCACTTCGATGCATGCTCTTACTTCTGCGACTGCACAGCGGGCAAGCAACCGGCAATGCTGGCAGGTTTCTGCAAGAAACAACCCACCGCGATACGTTCCTGTGTCCGCGAGGCGTGGGAGCGTCCAAGACCTTGTTATTGTTCTCGCAGTCCAGGCAGTAGACTCCGAGTGTATGCAGCAACAAGCCCAAGACATTGGAAAGAGTTCTTTGCCGCTGCAGCCAGTTGTAGATGATTGACCAGTGTGCGTCTGCATGGGAGCCGGGTTGCCTTGGGTGTAGCGGCAGGGTCCGTTTGGGCATGCATTTTAGTGGCTTTTGCCGTTGTTTCATCGAGAAACTTCGGCACTTTGCGTGCAGCTGATGCTCCTTGGCAAGGTGTGAGCTGCGCCGGTCCGCAGTAGCGGGAACAACTCATGCCAGCCATGCCAGCTCCCGTATTCTTGCTCGCTTCGTTGCCTTTCTTGACCTTGGTCATGGCCGCTTATGTACCCTCGACCGCTTTAAGTGACGCAGCATTTGCCCATGCTCTGTCGAGCTTGTTCAATTAGTCGTTCCATGTGTGTTGCATTTTCAGCAAGATCCTTGCGACGGCCCACTGCTTCTCATGGTTAAAGATGCTCGACCGCCCATGTGCACGGGAGAGCGTTGCAGCGCTGGCCATAAGGTTGGCAAGGGAAAGGCGGCTCCCCAAATTGAGCTGGACGTGCTTCAAGCTCGGCTGGACGCCGCATGCCGGACTGCACAGAAGAAGGGCCTGTTCCACTTGAGTTGGCTTCCTGTCGGGCGGTGCCTAGGACGGGCATGTCCCGTTGCGGCCTCGCTTCAGTTGCAAACTACTGGGAGGCCCCTTCGTCTTCTCACTTGTTCGGGATGCTGAGACCCGTTTGAGAATGCGCTTGATTCATGTTGGCCCTGGTATGCCCTTGAAGTTGGCCCAACGTTGTCGTCCCTTTCCAACCCGTTCGATGTTCTTGTCCAGGTGGCCCCGAGCAACCTACCCTACCTCAAAAGGCAGCCCTTGCATGGCCTTTGCCCCAGTGCTCGCCGGCACTGTCTTTGAAGCTTGGGATCACGGGAATGCTCCTGCTGCGTTGAAGCGGCATTCTTGCTTTGTGTGCAGGGGGTGGTTGTGAATCGATGCCCTTAGCTCAGCCTCCGTAGAGATTGTGACAGAGCTACCCGCAAGCTACAGGCATCATTGCTGAGCTGCATTCCGCAAGTGCTTCAGCGAGGGAATGTGCTGGAGGTGTTCTGCAGACACTTGCGGTCGTGCTGTCGAAACGGTGCGAATGGAATTGCACTCTCAATACCGCAAGCTCTTGCTTGCCGCTACCGCGTTGCATGCGAGATGCGCCGACCATGGCGTACGCACTTCTCAGCAATCTCAGCCACCAGACAACGTCCATGCATTTCAGCGCTGCAGGCGCTCTGGCAGATGCTGCGATATGCGGAGATCCCATGCGTAAGGGAGCGGATGCAAGACGCCACATAAAGCCTCCGTCAACATTTCCACTTGCGGGCATGAACTCAAGAGAGGGAGAAGGCATGGGTATGCACCGCCTGACGGCTGCCGCACACGGGCTTGCTAGGGGTCAGGCTGCTCATGTTCATTTGCAGTGTGTGCATGGTGTCTAGAGTACTCGGCGGCGTGCTGCCGTGGCTGTTTCCTGATTCGTGGCTTGCAGCCAGCATCTGCTGGGATATGTCGCCGGATGGCCCGATGCTCCATTGCCATCCATGCCTCCGGGCCTTGATGTTTGACATGTTTTGCAACCTGCTTGCCTCGTAGTGCTGGCGGGAAGCGGCTATCTCGCAAGCATGCCTTTGTCCATTTGCGGAGCGTTTCATGTCGTACGATTTCGTAACCGTGGCATCAAGCGCAAATCAGGTCCCCTTGCTCGCCTCAGTTGACCCGCTAGGTGGTCTAGCAAGCGGCCCTTTCTCAAGCATGGACTCGCCTCTGTTGCCGTCGCCGTCACCGCCCTCTAAGCGGTGCTCATGTTCTTTCCAAACTTAGCTGCTGCCTCGGCTACCTCGGTCCCGGAGCAGAACTGCCTCGCACAGGCTCGCTTCTTATTTGTTCTTTCAGCTTTCTTCTCAACTTCTGCTGCGTGCAACCAGCTAGTGTAGCGTGCAATGTTGCGATAATCGTGCCATCAGACTTGTGCTGCCCCTTCTTCTGCCAATATTCGCACTTGTGACCACGCTTTTGCTAGGCACCAGGCGCCGAAGTGCAGTGGATAATGCTGATCGCACGACGAAAATTGCAACAATGGCGACTGCAACGCCCTTGCGAGGCTTTCTGTGTGCGAGGGAGCCCTTTCGCACTGATATGTCCTGATGTTCTCCGGTGATAGCTTAAGCTGGCATGTGCGTGCAAAGCTGCGATAATCGTGCCATCAGGCTTGTGTGCTGAAGAGCCGGGGTTCTTTCCACCGATCCTGTACGCCATGTTTTGCTGGGACCAGCATGGCTCATGTCAGTAGACTACGAACTTCCCACAAGTCTCGGGCGCAGGGGCTTCATCAATGATCATCATCATCACCGTCATCACCGCCGTCATCGACATCACCAGCACCATCACCATCATCATCATCATGATCATCATCATCATAGACTCGTAGAGTCCTCATACACGCTATTATTAACATTGTTGAAATATGAACCAGTGAACCAGTTCACGATAGTTCGAGCAGGCAGCTGCAATAGCAAAAGAGGCAGTTCACAGCACAGTTCTACTCAGTCATCATGCTGAGCGAAGACCCCAACACCCTGCAACTCTTAAGCCCGAAACAAAATGACCCCAAACCCCTAAACTTACACCCTATGACCCCCCATCCCAAGACCCGAAGCCCAAAGCCCTAAGCCGTCTCGACACACTCGTTTTGTATCCTTGGGGCCCAAGCAGTCCGAAGTACCGAACCGTTGCGATGCAGCGCCTCCTGGCCCCTCGACCTTAGCAACGTCCGGCGGTTGGGTGTAATCAGTGTAATCAGGTTCTTGGGTTTGGGTTGAGGGTTGAGGACTTAGCGGTCAGGGTTTAAGGTCAGGATTTAGCTTTGTTTCGACAGTTTGTTGTGTTGGGTCGAAGCCTCAGAGGTCGGGAGCCCGAAAGAGTGTGTGGCGTAAGGGTGACAGGTGAATGGAGATCCCGACCGAAATTCTGAACTGTGGCTAAGGTCGCTGCCTGCTGGACTCGTGTTTTCGGACAAGGCCCCAGTCAAAGGCAAGGCTGCGAGAGCCTTCCAGGCAGGGTTTTTGGTTTAAGTCATGCAGGCCGCTTATTGTTGTTTTGGCAGGGGAAGTTTGTAGGTTTCCAGACCAAGGTTAGTCGGGGTTACATTATGGATTGGATCGATGAACTTTAACATGGGCTACAGCTACTCTGGAACACTTGAACACCTTGAATGGCCACTGCTTCGCTTTCTGCAATTCTTGTAACGGTAGGCAGCTTAAAAAGGTAAAAAAGTGCTGCTAGGCCCGAGCTGCGGTAAGCCCTACAGAAGCAAGTGTTGCAACATCTGCTCCAATGATTAACAAGTAAACGCTCCGTGTCGATATGGCAGCGCGACATAAACCTCAGGCCCGAAGCCTTCTCGCAGAAGAGGCCCTTTCAGCATAGCTTACAAGGGAGAAGCTTCCTACAGCGGTCTGAATATTTGGTAGTCGTATGCCCCCACACAATCCCTGTATCATTATATTGAAAACAGTAGTATTATTCTCCAGGGTTCGTGATTTCTAAAGTATATTATAAGTATCCCAAAACCCGCTATAATTCTCCCAGAAACTGAAGTAACTCGGCCCCAACATTGCTCAGGTGAGCTTTGCAATCGACAGGATTCGTGCAATCCCGAGAATGGCGCGACAGACGTAGAGTTTCTGCAGCGCATCTGGGTGACAACAAAAGTTGCGTACTGTTACCGCAGAGTCCAGGTGTGGTAGTTGTTGTGTGAGAGAGAGAGCGAAGGAGAGACAGAAAGAGAGAGAGAGAGAGAGAGGCAACCATCTTGCCCATAACCCTGCCGAAAGAAAGACAGAGAAATAAAACATAGAGAAGGCGGGGAAGTAAGGAAAGAATAAACAAAGAAAAAATGAACCAACAAAGAGAGAGAGAGAGAGAGAGATCATTCAACGGGCCACACATCTGGCTCTTCTCAGGTAAACCCATTCCACCTTGGGCCACATCGCCCCGAATCCAGGTTTCTTTTCAACGCCCCCTTAATGGTCTTGTCTTTCTTTAGCTGGGGGGAGCGGCCTGACCAGTGGCGCGGCTCTTAGTTTACTGGAGTGTTTGTGAGTGTTGCTTGTGTGCGTTGCTTCGGGGGACAATCACTGGTCAGCCGCTCTGACTTGCTCGTACAATCGTTGTATAGCCGAGCCTTTGGGGGGCAACCCCCCAGAGAAATCTCTTTTCCGGCAAAGAACCGCAGCTGCGCGCTCGCGTGCGGGGGAAGGGCCTGGACGCTGCCCGACCCCCATGGCTGGTAGAGAGAGAGAGAGAGAGATCATTCATTGTCATCATTAATGTCTTTAAGAGTATTTTTATCATTGCCATCACCAGTAATTAGTATTATCTAATTGGCAACCGGTGCGGCTAAAACAGGCAAGTTGTCGCTGGCACCCCGCCGGCCCCACGTTCTCCTTTTCGTCGCGGACGATGTGGGCTGGGCGGGCCTGGGCGTTCACCGAACTGCCAGAAACGCAGCTGAGGCAGGACATGGCTACTTGGGGTTTCCGAGGTTTGGGGTTGGTGCTTGGCTGCGCTATCGTTCCGGATGAAAGAGCTGGTTTCTGCTCAATCTTGCAAATTGGTCAGGCTGTCCTCATTCGCAAACCCTTGAACCCTAAACCGTATACGTTCAAACCACCAACGCTACACCTTAAAGTTGAAATCTCAATCCTTAAACCCTAAACCTGAAACACGTGTGCCAGGCTCAGGGCAAGGCTGAGACACAGACTCCCAACTTGGACGCCCTGGTCCGGGAAGGCGTGCTCCTGGAGAGGCCTTAAAGGGATATCGCACGTGTATTTTCAGGGGTGAGGTTTCGACGAGGGTTTAGGGTATAGGGTTATTGTACAGGCTTTCCTACAGCGCTTTTTTTGCCCAAACAGCATGCTACACGCTATGGAGTTTTAAGGCTAAGTGAAAGGAATCGGTTAGCATCGCCTGGCGGCACGGCGCGGGCAAAGTTGCCCGATGCATGGCTCAGGCCGTGGCGCGGTGCATATTTTCTGTGTATATACAGAGGATCGTGGCAGGTTTCCAAAAGGCCGGACTCATTTGTAAATCCTGACACGTGGACCAATTTTCGGCCTCCAAAGAATTGAACCGTGGCCTTGATCTTGACTCCCGCCTGCAAAGGTGGGGAAGCATGAGCATTGTGTTCCTGAATCCCACCCGTAATAAAAGGAAAACATCCGGGATCTGCCGATACCTTGGGGGAAGGCAATTCTGGCAGCACTCTCGAATCATCCTGAATGCTGCGGTTACTTGCGTAGCGTTCGGGGCATGGCTTACATCCAGTGGACGTGGGGAAGCTTTTGGGGCGTAGTATTATAAGCATCACCTGAACCCTAAAGCTTGTAAAGCCCTAGAAAGCCCTAAACCCGAAACCCGAAGGCACTACACCTCGTCAACATCGGCGCCGTCGAGGTCCTCCTTGCTGAGCGGCCGTTTGCCTCACCGCTTCCCCCCGGTGCCTGAGGGCATTTCGACACCCCAGATGTTTCCGACTTGGACAGTATCACTTTGCTGCTTCATGTCGCTTTAGGGTTTAGGGTTTGGGGCGTTTCTGAGCATGCCAAAGTTTGGGCCTTCGGCCGTTGTGTTTGCAATGTTGATGAAGACAGGTTCTGGAACCCACAGGATAACGTCTCTGGCTTCTACGGAATCCCGAGAAACATGACTGGCATTGGTCGCAAGATGAAGCAAGCCGGCTATGCGACCCATTTTATCGGTAAGCGGCTGGGCGTATTGTTGCAGGGTTGTTTTGGGCGAGTTTCTCTCCAGGGAATCATAACAGACATCCCGACAGTCAACGCAGGTGGGATGTCGGCTTCGCCACACCGGAACATTCCCCCCGAGGCCGAGGCTTTGACTCGTTCTTCGGCAATCTGCAATCCATGAATGACTATTGGTCCAAGGACCATGCAGGTGAGAAGTGGCTACTGGATACTTGCCTGAACAATTTTCAGGATTTCTCCCTTCACAATGCGACGTACCGTGGTGGTGTGGAAGGAGCGGTGGCTGCTGAACTGGGCTGCAGTGAACGCGTGAAAGGCAAGTCCTTCACAGATATTGGCTGCAACAAGGATGATCCCGAAGAGTGTTTGCCAGAGAGCTGCTTCCAAGAGTCCATGTACCTGGAGTATGCCATGAAGCTCCTCAAAGATCACGAGCCTTCAACGCCCTTGTTCCTGGTCTACTCGTCACACCTTGTGCACGTCCCTCTGCAAACAACACGCTCTGCGCTGCAACTGGAGGATGCCGTCCAACAAAACCTTGTAAAGGCTGGTCTGGAAAGGAAGTTTGCTTGGACGAAGCGTCGAAGGGCGCTAGCTGCAAACCTGATGTACTTGGACTCTGTGATGGGAAGACTGGTTGAGGCTTTGAAAGAGCACCAGATGTTTGAAGACACCCTGATCATCTTTATTTCCGACAATGGTGGCTCCGTCCACCTGAGAGGAGGTGGGAATAACTATCCGTTGAAATCCGGAAAGGCTGCAGACTTTGAAGGAGGAGTGCGAACAAATGCTTTCATCTCGGGGGGCTTCGTCCCAGCCGAGCACCGAAACACAACCTTCCACGGCGTGATCCACATCGCGGACTGGTACTCCACTCTCTGCGACCTTGCAGGGGTCAGTCACTTCGATGAGGCTGCTGCCGAGGCCAACAAAGTCCAAGGCCCCAAGGGTCTGCCACTCTTAGGAGAGGTAGATGGCCGGCCACAGATGCAGCACATCTTTTCCGGCAGCAATGGCCGCGCGGATGCCTTGCACTTGAGCAAACACACAGTTCTCAAGTGGCACTTTGGGAAGCTTCATACGTTTCCTTTCCTTTTCCTATAGAGATATACCCCTTTTCGCAAAGACTTCTGTGTGCCCCACATAAACTAGAACCCCAAAACCCTAAACCCTAAACCCTAAACCCGAACCCTAAACCCTAAGCCTTAAACCCTAAGCCCTGAACCCTAAACCCCAAACTCCTAAATCCTAAACTCCTAAACCCTAAACTCCTAAACCCTAAGCTCCTAAACCCAGGTTCTCAAGTGGCCCTACAAGCTGGTCACGGGAGAGCAGGAATTCAGCTTCTGGCCCGGCCCTGTCTCTGGGTTGCTGTCAAGGAACTAAGGTTGAGGGTGTAGGGTTTAGGGAACTAAGGGTTGAGGGTGTAGGGTTTAGTAGGGTTTAGGGTTTAGGGTTAGGGTTTGGGGTTTGGGGGCTCAGGGTTTAGGGTTTAAAGTTTAGGGTTTAGGGGCTCAGGGTTTAGGGTTTAAAGTTTAGGGTTTAGGGGCTCAGGGTTACTACAATAAGGAAACCCTACCGTGTATCATTTACTCTTGGGGTTGGGCGTTTAGGGTTTCGAGGGTAGCTTAGATTAGGTTCCTTTACAGCCACCCAGGTCTTTCCAAACTGCAGCAGCGTCCACCCAGAGTTCCCCCGAGTGGACGTATTTGGACACGGGGTCCGAATCGAATCTGATGACTCTACCTACAGGGAGTATGCCATGGTAGAGGACTGTGGCACAGGTTGCTCGGCCTTTTGTCATATCTTCGAAGGCCCTGGAACCCGCCCTCGTTGTACTATGCATCGCGGAGGATGCAGCCAATCACCCCAAGCCCTAAACCCGAAACCCTGCACCTCCCAGGTTGCCTGTACGATGTTGCCGCCGACCCTAGTGAGCACTCAAACCTCGCCAATCAAGCACAGTCCCCGGGGCGATCTTGGCAGTGAGTTTTCTTTTGTTCTTGGTTGGATCTCTCGACTGGGGGGGTGTAAGCCAAGAAACTCGTATCAGGGTTACAAAGCTTTTTCCGAGTCTATTCCTATCACAGGTTCACAGACGAGAGTCTCTTTGTCTGTACTGCCCTAAGCCCTAAACCCGACGCCTGCAACCCAAAACCCAAATCCCTAGACCCGAAGCCCAAAACCCTAAA